ATTGTATTTTATACTTCTATAATCACAAATTTCGCCAATGCTACACTATAAAAAATATTAACAAAGACAAATAATATTTAATCTATTTTCAATTTAACAACAGACGTCAAGAACAAAAGTTTGACAATAAACAGTATGCATGCGTGTGTGCGTCAAATACATGGTATGTAGTGTGTGTAATGTTTTCTTTATTGATTAAATGTATCTTTTATGCATTATTTTAAAAAAATATTAGCATTGTGCGCTTCTTCTCTATATTATCTATAAGTGTGGAAAATTTCATACTCCTCCGTCCGCACAATTTTCGTAAAAAGGAATCCAAGTTTTTGCTTCACGTATTAATATATACCTAGATGTAAATTTCAATTTTTAGATTTCCTTCAGTTAAAAATTAATTGTAATTTTATACGATATGATAAAGTATTAGTATCATTCGCGATGATTACTTTTAATTTCGTATGGGAAATTGTATGGGGTGGATTACTGGTGATAGGGCGTTTTGTAAGCCCGCACCTTACCTTCACCCTGCCTATTTCTACCGTGAAACAGTAATGCGTTTCGGTTTGAAAGGTGGGGTAGCCGTTTTACCGTAAAACTGAAAATCAATTATAACTCAACGTGAATAGCGGCATTAACGTTGTTGATATCTATGGACTCCGGTGACCACTTAACACCAGGTGGGCCGTTAGCTCGTACACCTATCTTATAAAAAAAAAACGTTCGTTNACCTTCACCCTGCCTATTTCTACCGTGAAACAGTAATGCGTTTCGGTTTGAAAGGTGGGGTAGCCGTTTTACCGTAAAACTGAAAATCAATTATAACTCAACGTGAATAGCGGCATTAACGTTGTTGATATCTATGGACTCCGGTGACCACTTAACACCAGGTGGGCCGTTAGCTCGTACACCTATCTTATAAAAAAAAAACGTTCGTTTTAACTTATTAGGCATTAGCAAGCAACAGCTTAGACTTCAAACGTAAGATTATTTAATAAAAACGGAAAGAAGCATTCAAAAGACGAACTTTCATATATATAAGCGTAAAAATCCGTGCGGCTGGCGTACAATATCCATTTATAAACGAGAAATAATCCCTCGGTGTATAGACGCGGGTAAATGTTCCGTGAAAACCCGAACGCGGTCGAGCATTTTTCTCGTGACAAAAGCCTCTGAGACATCGCACGTAGAGTCTGTTCGTATAATAGAACCCGGCATATACAATATTTACATACACTTTTTTTTATTTTTTATTAAAATTTTATATTCTACGATCAGTTAAATACCATTAATCGGGTATACATAATTGCTGCCAGTAATTAAAACTGTGTTGCAAACTTTATGTCTACCATAAACATACCTGGGGGTTCATATGTAAATAATTAATACAAAATAAAAAGTAAAATAGGATCTTAATTGTATTCTATGAAGATTATAAATAAAAAATATTGTACTAAAATATTAAAAACAATGAGTACCGATAAAAGGTTAATTACTAAATAACAGGATGTAGAAAAAAGAAAGATAAAAAAATAAATAATGAAAAATTAATAAACAAATGCAAAAAGTAAAAAAAAAATGTAATTTACTTATAAGTATTTTATATGTTATAGTTATCTACTTTTGCTACGAGAATAGACCTAAATAAACTTACTTTAGATAACATTTCACTTTACGCTGCTCTATTATAAAGTATAAAGAGAACTAGAAATGTTTTTTCCATGTGGCCAGTTGGCCAATTCACATTAAAGGTTTATCGGTGCTCTTAGATATCACGCTGTGTATACCGCGGCCGCCCACTTAAAGACACACACAATTTAATTTGTTTTATATTAATACGTGAAGCGAAAACTTTGTATCCCTTTTTACGAAAATTGCGCGGACGGAGGAGTGTGAAAATTTTCCACACTTATAGAGAATATAGAGAAGAAGTGCACAATGCTAATTTTTTTTTAAATAAAGCATAAAAGATACATTACATCAATAAAGAAAACATTACACACACTACATACCATGTATTTGACGCACACACGCATGCATACTATTTATTGTCAAACTTTTGTTCTTGACGTCTGTTGTCAAATTGAGAATACATTAAATATTGTTTGTCTTTGTTAATATTTTTTATATTGTGGTCTTGGCGAAATTTGTGATTATAGAAGTATAAAATACAATCATAATAGTGTACAAACTTACAATTCCAATTAATTATAGTCGAATTTCGACTACTGCGGGACCTCTAGTTTGTTTTATAACAGCCATACCCTTCAAACGGGAATGTGTGATTATTGCGGCCACTACCAGTATTAGAGGTAGTGTTCTTAACATGAACATAATTTGGTTGATTGGACAGAGACTGCCGATTTTTTTGATATCACAGAGAGGTTATATGGTAGAAAAATTAAGAGAAAGCGTACAACAATGTTATTACAATGTAATAATTAGTCTTAATTTTCGACACATTACACGTTATTTAAATTAGTATTTTTTAATTAACACAAAAATGTGCTTAAATCTGAAAACAGAATAAACTTTTCTTCTGATAACGTGTCGCACTTATAAAACATAATTAACTGTATGGGTTATGATATAAATAAACCACCTACAGTTAAACAAGAAAACCTGATGCAGTGATTTCACTTAAGATTCATTTAAAAATAAATTTAAAAGCCTCCCCTTGTTGTTCGAGACGAAACTCAATCAAAGTTTAATTCGGTCGATAGTACAAACACCGAAGTTCGCAGATAAGCAAACGGGCGGATAAGTCGTTTGGGAGACGAGTTTCAATCCTTCCGAGATTCCATTGACGGTAGTGTCTGTGCCCTTACAGGTAAAATGACTTATTCAAATTCAATTCAATTCAAATTCAAAATCATTTATTTCAACTTAGATGTCAGTATGACACACTTGTTGAAAGTCAAAATACAAATAACAATGTTAACTCTACCACCGGTTCCAAAAAAAGCCACAGTCCTGAGAAGAACCGGCGAAACAAACCCAGCGGGCATTTTTTTTTGTTTTTTCTCAAATATTTTCTTTTTTTTAAAATAAATAAAAATATTTACAATAAAGGAAAAAACAAGTCAAAAAATACAATTAAAATAATAATAATAATAATAATGAAAAATGAAAAGGCCAGGAGCGAGCGCCTCATTCCCACGTAGTGCCATCTAGTAGATAATCCTTCACTTTATAATATGCCTTGTTGCACAAACGTTCCTTGACAGTTTTCTTAAATCTATGAACAGGTAGTAATTGAACGTTTAGTGGGATCTTGTTGAAAAGTTGTACACCCAGCCCCCTAAAAGAGTTGCTTATTTTCTTAATTCGAGCCGCCGGTAACGCTACTATCTACTTAATGATATGTTACTGCTCTAGATGGGCACAAGAGTATTCGGCCCACATAGTGTCAAATGTTCACCGATTCCCTATAGTCATCACAACGCCTGTCCAACATAAACCAGAGAGAATATTTCCACCACAAACCAATTACATATACCTCCTAGTTTCAAGGGCGAAACAATCACACGAAGTTCACGTTGTGCCCTCTACAAGCTCGGGTAAATACTTAACACCAAGTAAAATCGTTTGCCTATATAGAGCAATTTAAAAGCTACAATCGTCCCTTGTGAGGAGCTTGCGAGTTTCGGGCCCACCCATAGATTATAAGTCAGGTTTCTTGTAGGTATAGGATTCATTGTTCAATATCTAAGGTCTCCTCACCTCACCTTATCATCTAGGGTCTTATCAAATAAGTAAAATAATAAATAATAAATAAATATTTACTAACAATCACACCACGTTAACTGGTCCTATGATAAGTTCGTAAATAACTTGTGTTACAGGTACCAGATAACGGAAATAAATGTAAGATTTTTATTATACACATACATATATTTAATATACATCCGTAACCCTGGAAAAGACATTTATATTTATCATACAAATATCTTCCCTTGGCAGGATTCGAACCCGCGACCCCCTTGTGTGGTGACCATGTCACTTACCACTACACCAGACGGTCGTCAAATGACATCTTATTTGCACTGAACGTATTTTTTTACTGCACACACTTTTCTTACAATAATAAAAGTGATACAAAATTAATTTAAGACTCCAAATTGTACGTCATCTCCATAAAATTATATATAACTTCATAATTAAACAATTACGCCATTGTCAATTGATATGATGTAACCGAGCATTCCTAGCAATATTTATTACTAAGTACCAAATAGCACTTCATATTGTAATTGGAATATGCACATTAATATTATTGTACAATTTTAATTCGATCAATTCAAATGTAACGAACGGCTAAACGAATACAATTTAAAATTTAAAAAATCCCCTTTTGTAAAAAGCTCTCCCAACTAAGTGGCGCTCGCCACCTTTTGACACACAATAAATCACAGCCGTGAGCGGCCAATAAAAAATATGTTCCACCCTCGGCGAAAATCCAATTAATTTTCGGAGGCTAAAAAAAGAACGTGCTCGTCCGAGCGGAAAAAGCTTGCCGAGAATCGAGACCGTGCAAGTGACAAGCGACAGCGGAAGCGCACGCGATAAAATGACGAAATAAATAAGCTCTACAAAGAAAGCTGATCTGTAGTATATAATGATAAATGAGATAAAGTAGGTTTAGCACAGAATACATAAAAATAAGAAAGTGGGAAAAGGGGAATAATGGAGAAGGCGTAATCAATTTCGCTCAGGAGACGCGTCGCGACGGCCGACGAAGCTCTCATTTTAATTTTAAAATATCATGGCGTACTGAGGGTTCGCGGGGCGGAGGACTTTTTAATTTGGCTCGAAATGTTTAAAAATGCACGAACCTCTGCGGTGACACATCAATCCACTTAAAGCGTTCACATCCGAGAACTAAACTGTTTTACTACGTTTAGTAGGTTTGTTCAGTTAATTATTGTAAAATCTACCTTGTCGCTCCTCGTATGTACATATTAGAATAGATACATAATTAATTAGATTTAATTTTCTTGCAGCAACAAAGGCCAGACTTGCCGCGGCTACTGCAACAGATGCACGCGGCGCATCTTCCTACACACGGCGCGCCTCCTCTACCTCTTCTGGGGCAAGGCGCTCTACCTCCAGCGGGTCTACTCGGCCTCGGAGTACCGCATCATCCACTCTCCGTACTCGCGAAACCACCTGAACTACATCGATCGGACGATAAGGGAAACGGTAATAAACCCTTAAACAAATTATGTTTTTTCTCAACACATAAGTCTACCTATCGATTCGACACTTGGATGAATATTTTAAGAGGGTGTCGTGTGTTTGTGTATTCGGCTTGTTTGCCGAGTGCCACTGGAGACTATTAGTGCTTCCCCCTCCGGCTCTTCGCCTCCTGCGCTGCGGCAGACGTCGCCGATCCCACTTCTGTTTCAATATTTACCAACTTCGAGAGGCTTTTTGAACTCACTGTTTGCGTGTTTTCGGATCGCTGGCGTCTACGGATCGCTCGATATTGCTTCGAGAGTATGAATAAGTCAATTCTTCGAATTTGTACCTATCTATGCGTATATTTACACAGAACAAGCAAACAGGTTAGGCAAAGGATTACCATATGAAAATATGTTTCATATACAGCGTGTAGATTAATTAAATGAATAGGCTGTACAGAATAGTATAGAATCGCTGAGTAGTATTATTCATTTCAAACAATATAGGTAGGAGGGTTTTCAGTTTTCACAGTAGCGCAAGTAATCCCGGCGCGGTGCGGGGACGAGCGCGCCGCAAATGAAAATGTAACACAGAAATGGATTTGGAAGCCGCCCGTCGCTCCGGTTAATTACAAAAGCAAGCGGTAATCTGCGCTCCGGGATGTTCCGGCTTAGCGCCCCCTACCACCCTGGGCCGCTGCGCCCGCCACTTCCCCGGCTAATTTGTGCCATTATCGGTGTACTGATGTAAGAGTTACCGCGCAGATGGCCCCCTCCTCCTCCTAGACCCTCACCTTACCCGCGCTCAATTAATTATTCCTTGCCGGTGTGAGCGTCGCGTGTTTTAGTCAATTAGTAACGTAATTTTGCGGGTGACTTGAGTATGTGCGGTCGCGAACCGACACGACGTAAGCCATGTTTTAATACTCCACCTATTACATTTGCAAATAGTACGTACTTAGAATACAGCTTTTCAGAATTAGTTACTTTTAGGGTAATGTCATAATATGCAACAAGATACGTGAATGAAGTGCGAATTACGATGACTTTAATAATTGTATTCGAATTCCGGGCAAGCAATTACATTTACATTGTATGTAGCAGCATTAGCGACATTAATGCTCAGCCTGTTTGCATAATACATACATATGTATGTATGTACCGCTTAATAGTTCTCGCAATTGCCTCCTAACTTAAGCCCAATCAGCCGGTTGCAGCATCTTCGATACGATAAGCTACAGAATTGATATTCCAAATTTACACAAAGCCGGATTAGCGTTGCTCTAGTACGTGCATACATAATTAAACGCTGTAAAATGATTGAAACCTTTTTAAAAGACCAACCTTTTTGAACCAAATTTTAAACATACCTATCTCCTTTTAAATTCTATAGTCGAACGACTCACACAGCAGTAGATTAATTCTAAAAGCCGTCTTCCGTAAATAGAAGGCATTGATTGATACCCTTTGACATCGGACATGGTTCGGCTTATGTGCCTGCTTCAATCGCCCACTTCGATAAACGCCTCACTGCTCCATAGCAAAGTGATAAATTTGGTCGGAGCATCGGTTTTGAACGTATAGGTAGACTAGAAGTTTTCGTATTGAGAATCTCGAATAACTACATATCGACGCTTGAAAGGCAAACGTGACTAAGCGACAATGCGTGAACTTTACAGTAGACTAATTTAAAGTTAAAAAACCTGTGATAATTTATTTTTTAACGAATCTAGCTGTACGATTGAAATGATTTTAATAGACCTAGAAATATATTCTTTTTGCGCATCGAATATGGTTATTGCCTATCATTTATGTATAAAGCAATTATTGTCGCTTAATCACGTTTGCCTTTCAAGCGTCGATATAATGAGGTGAGAATATGGGATTATGTGGTCATGGATATTTAAACTAGAATCCTCTTCTTAGTCACTATGCTCTTGATAAAGTGGTTGTATTCGTAGAATTTCAGTGGGCAGATTTATTACGTCTTACAATGTCCCGCCATCTCTCCCTGGTCCTCGTGAACATGCTGCTCTACTCATTTAAAAGATCACCGTAGACATGACTTGATCGATCCACCGTATGAGAGACTTCCTGTTGTATTCTGAAAAATCTCAACGGACAATTTCGTCTTTCATATTCTACAACTCGTATTTGTAATTACTACACTAGACCTTTCCTGATATTCTCAAGTGCACGTACCGGAAAAATTTGTGCATGTAAAAACTAATTTTACTATTTAAACAGTCATAGACTAACATTTGCCATGCGCTTAATAATAATAATAATTAAGGAACCAAAGCAAATTGGAATTTCACGTACAAACACCGAAACTTCTAACTTCGGTAAGCCGTGAATAAATGAAAGATAATGGTGGTGTCAGTTGACGCGACCAAGTCAGGTCACACGTACGGAACTCACGCGGACGTGTGACGAGACATCCCTTGCAATATTCAACGACCACTTTACACCCTCGTCGATCCGACATCCTATTATACACACACCGACCGCAGTCATGCGGATCTCAGGGCCTGGATTTAATTTGCGAGTTAAAGCGGAGAATGTCTGTATTGCAGGCACGGTCGCCTAAGAAACTAATTAGATTCATAAATGTTTGACTTGTAAGGTGTCAGAGGCGTTATTAAAAATGTCAAACTGTAAAACTGGTTATTAATATTTTAGAAAGTCGTTCCGCGTAATCATGTTAATCGTTATAATAATAATACATATTCATGGTGTTAATAATACGCATGTCAAGGAAAAAATAAAATAAAAGAAGAGCTTCATTTAAATACCTATGATTAAACCGAGTACATTTCGTTACAGGTATCAGTTCGGCGGAGGAGCGACATGTGAGTACCGTATAACTTTTCCAATTTCGCTAGGGTTGTTAAAATTCCAACGGCAAATTTTTTTCCTTTGAATTTTTTTTCCCGACAAGAGTACCTACCGCTCTTCCATTTGGGAATGCGAACGTGAATGTAGCGAGGAGTGTTTCGCTCGAACACGTTGATTTCATAACACGGCCCTGACTGAAACAAGTGGGTGGTGCAAGTGCCGCACCCCGCTCTCTAGGGTTGCTTTCGTCAGGTATTCCTTTATTCCACTATACTCTGAATTGTTGAATGAATTCGAATCATGAAGTATTTGCTTAAATGGCTTTTATAAAAGGGCCATATATTTGACTATTTTCATAACTTAATACAATGTTATTGACGTGACAACGATAATCGATGGAGCCGGCTGCACGCACAAAAAACATGACTCATACGGCGTTACCACGCTCTGAGGCGTTCCATTTAAGGCTTGAAGTGCAAGCGAGAGCGCGCAACGAGCCACAATCGGCCTCCGCGTTCGGCAGCATTCGACATCTGTCTCTCTCCTACTTGAGTGAGCGATGCATCCGCATGGACAGCTGCTACACAATAATACATTTACGTGTTTTCGTCAAGTATGAAGTTCAGTGAAAAGTGAATGTGGTGTCAATTGTTTATAGCAAATAATTGCGATAATTGAAAAATGAAACCATTCCATCAGTATTTTCTTATGACGTTGTCACGTTCAACTATCGTCAGTAAACCGACTTTAAAGACAACCGATTTTTTTTATTTAAAAAAAATAAAACGTTAATGTGTACCTTCGAAGTAATTTTTAATGAACCCCTGAAAATAAATACTTCTTAGACAGATTTCTTTTAATTTAAACGTCTCACAAACAAGAACGGTCTTTGTGTTGTTGAAGCTACAAACCTCGGGGTCGTAACATTTAAATTTACGCTTGTAGAGTAAGCCCTGGTTCGTAAGGCCGCGACCGAGTGTCGTTCGCGCGGTGTTGCGAATGTCGGCTATCGTGCTACTGTGGTGGTGGGCGGGCGGGGAGGCACCCTTGTTGTGCTCGACTGAACGCAGCGGCGCACCGCACAGATGTGCCTCAGTCTCTCGTTGCAACTGGAAATGCATACAAATCGATACCTGCCACCTCGCTACTTTATAACATTGTCTTTGTCGAACTAACCTACTTTTCTGTACCTACCGAACTTATGATTTTAAATGGTTCAGATTTTGGAACGAATTATGGGACGGTGCGGAGGGGTACCTTAACCGTGAAAAAACGTCCGTAACGTCCGTAACTTCAATAATAAGTTCGCACGTTACCGAATGACCGTGGGTTGTTGCGAAACCTTCAGTTTTATTTTCTTTATAACTCGAATAGAACTTAAAATTAATATTTTTTTATAATAAGGAACTTCGTTCGTATCCGGTGTCCCACGACACCACACATCTTTTTTTTTGTTAAATTACGATAAGAATTTTCTCGAACAGATCCGTCTGAAGGCAACAAGTTAAAATATATATTTAAAAGATTAACATTTACAATTAAAATCCAAATTAATTCGTACAAAGCTACCAATAGTACATATTTTATTTCCCACTTTATTATAACAGTTTTATGGTGTTAATTAACCGCGTGATTTTCGCATCATTTTTTTAGGTTCGAACAGATTTTGTATTAATAAAGAAACGAATAATTGAAATAATTTTAGAATGTACCTACGTTCTGTTCCAAAGTATGCCGCAACAACAAACAAATCAAGCCGCAGAGCATACCAGCAACTTAGTTAGAAAACTTGAGGTGAGAGAGTTTAAGTTGAGAACGCCACGTGAAGAGTTTATCTTCAGTGTGACCTCGATACGGCGGTGTAGTTAGGAGGTCGCTCACGGAGCAGTCGATCTGTATAAACACGCCGAGAACCCAGTAATACACGGTCACGCCTTAGTGTTTGGAGCACGGAGAAGGGGGTTCGCGAAACTCCTCGCTGCATTAACAAAGTTTACATAAACCGAACATTTCTCGAATGCAACTCAGCATTTACCGAGCAGCTTCAGGTTTCTGATATCTCAGCTCGCGCTTCGACTACTTGTCCAATAAATGTTTTTTATTGCGAATCACGAAAGCGATACTTCACAGTTTCAACACGTTGGTTTATTTGCGAACCTTGCGCCGCTGTTTGTTTGATTTTCCGATACATCAAGACAATGTTTATTTTACAACACAGAGAGAGGAGTAAACGCTTTAGCAATTTCATACATATGTTTGGAAAATAAAATTGGATAACTATCGTGAAACAGACAAAGTTTTGAATTGCGAAATGTCAATAAAGTACTCTTTTGTTGCCCCAGTTTCAATAGGTGTTTGTCATAGTAGATAAGTTTATATTGTAACTTATTACATAATTTATGTATTATAAAATAAAAATTAAAAATCTCCAGACGCTGATACTCACAGACTTTATTACAGGTGGAGTACATACAAAGTCTAAGTTATCTTACTTCGCAATATCTAAACATTCTCTTAATAACTTATGTCATTAATGTTTTATGCCATAGGTAATCGTTTCTATTAAATTTTACATCGCATTTACTCTCATCCCAGTAAATTTTATATTATTTAGAAAGCTACTTAACTTTCGACAAATAAGTGACTTTATAACAGCCAATTTACACCGATGTGAAATTAAACAGCATCTCTGAGCCTAACGGGGCGAGCCCTTCTGCAATCTCATTTGGGTAACATAATAACCGCGGATTTATTTCTGCCGCCCGCTTATTCGCTCTCAAATCGCGCCTAATATTCAATTTGGACGCCCAAACCACACAAAAACTGCTCGGAGCCGGTTCATTACGCCGCGCATCTCGCCTCTTCATCCTCCTTACCTTATCTAAGCCACTCTGAATAACACACCCCTTGTACCCCACACCCCGGCGCTCCCCCTAGACCCACACACCACTTCAAGTGGAAAACTCGCAGGGCGAGGGCCGCTCAACCTTGTTTAGCATTCTCCTCGACTTCTTTATTTAATAGATGCCGAAAAAACTCCGGTCAGAATAAATTTGCGTTTGTTCTTCGATATGCTCGGCGAGAGTAGATACGACCCGGCCATTTTATCTTGTCGGCGTACTCCTTTAATTAAGGTGGAAGCGGTGTGTGTAAATACGAGTTATGCTTCGAGGAAGACGAGGAGTATTTTATTAAACCGTAAAACACGAGTGGTAGTCGTTCTGTTTTGGTCGACGGAGCGCGGCAGCCCTACCGGCATGTTTACGCGCGGTGTAACAACACTCGCGCCCGCGTCAGTCCTTACAATTTATGGCCCGAGACTTTTCTTAATTGGAAAGAATGGCCACTTGTAATTATTAAGACGCCCTAAAGTGAAACAGATTGCGCAGTACTCGTCTTTTTCGCTACTTTATTTCTCGTTTTAAATTTTTAGTAAAAAGTTCTTGTAATTCGAGCGGAGTGTTTTAGATTAAATAAAGAGTTCTTAAATCACTGTTTTCGTTTATTAGTCCGTTGTCGGATTAACAATGTTTTAGGGGGTTACTCGGCGTTATTTTTAATTGTTCTTTCTGAGAGACATCGTTCGATTTTCATTGCCTCGTTATCTAAAATTCAATTTAGATACTGTTAACAAGATGTCGACTATTCAATTAATGCTTATTTAGTTAAGCTTCACTTCCTCCGAGTCTGGAACCTGTCTGAACGCTTCAGTACCGCAGTTAATCTCCTTACAGTACGGCTCTTATATAGAATAACACATAGATTATGTCTGTGCATTCACATTATACCAAACGGATTATCTGTCGTGTCGTGCAGCCAAGCCCCGTGTCTCCAGAATTTATAATCCTTGAGGCGGTATATTAATCATGACTTTAGTATAAACATCTATCTAATAATTTAAGTGTAATGCATTTATGAAGAGAAGAAAATTGTTGATTCAATCGAGAATGTACATTCTTAAGTGATTTAATTGGGTATTTCTATAAAGCAGTAAATCTAAAACTATATTTTGAATAGTAATTACGTAATGATTTTCAACAAGCAGAAGTTGAATATTTTGAACTTCGTTAAGTACGTACGTTATATAGTTTGCTCTAATGTATAAAACAAACATATCGTGATTAATGGGCCCCAAATTTTATTAAGTGGCTCTGTAGTCGTTGTGTCCTAATGGTTTCTGCCCTGTGTCCAATTTGGAAGGTGGGGCCGTGTAAATAAGGATAACAATTCTGTTTTGCGTTATGGATACCGGCCTACAGATTACGTATATATATATATATACCTATAGTATATTCAAATTCCAGAATATCAAATATCATTTACAACGTGAATGTAGTTTGGATCGGTAATCGATTCCGGACACTGTGGTACATTCTTCTCTAAGCCAACAAACTTAACAACGTCAAGGAATTTAAAAAGAAAATTGCTTGAACAACTCTTTATTTTTGAGTATTTTTATCGCCGTGGGAGCGAAAGTTCGGTTTCATTCCCTTCTTACTGGGGAACAAATGTTGTTTTCTCTTCTGGCTTAATTTACCACGTAGCTTTGTAACGATTTATTTTCAACTTCGTTTTATTTTGCATATTTTTTTGTCTATAACATTTAGATATGTGTATTATTTTTTCAATCATGATTTTTATTGAAGGAGGTTCGCTCATTAATCCCTTTCAACCTTTTTTGAACAAAATTATTGAATTTTAAAGCTAACTCATTTTGTTTTCAATGATCTTTCGCTCACTGAGTGATAAAATATGCATAATCGGATCTAATGCTGCGCGAGTCGGAAACCAAGTATGAATTCAAAATAGTTCATCTCCATTTCACCTCGCTAACTGAGCAGTATAGATACTCTATATGCAATTATTACTTTGGCATAACGCTAAATTTTACCCCCTACTTCATTTACGTAGAAAGTGAAAATATTTTGTAACATTCTTTATTGGTGCTCCATTTGTATTGTGGTCTTACCGTGATGTTATATATCTATCTAACGCTGAAAGAATTTTTCAAATC